ATTATATTAAAAAGTGAGAATATCAATCATTTTGAGATATTTTTTAAATACTAAAATTGCAATCAAGTCGGGACAAACGAAGAATATACTCCTTTCATCCCAAATTAATTACAATTTTAACATTTAAAAATTCAAAAAAAATAATTGATATTCTCACTGTTTAATATAATATTAATTATTTTTTCAAAATTTTCCTTTCATTAATTATTCGATTATTACTATTAAAAATAATGCATTTGTTGAATGTGTGGGGTATAAAAAAGTGATACATTTATACATAGTAATAAATAGTTAAAATAAAAATAAAAAGACTTAATTGCATTTTTGATCCCTAAAGTATTACAATTATGCAATTTTGATCCTCAATGTTTTAATTGGGTAACTTTAGTCCCTAAAGAATTGTAATTGTGCAATTTTGGTCCTTTAATTTTTAATTGAACAATTTTAGTTTCTCGAATATCACAATTGTGCAATTTTAGTCCCTCAAATATCATAATTATGCAATTTTAGTCTCTCCCATTACAAATTTAATAATTTGAATATATATATATACAATATTTTAAAAAAATATAATTATTTATCTATTCAAGTTAACGTATATTATAATTTTCGTTTAAATAAATAAAATTTATATATTATTATTTTTATAATATTACTGATAAATTAATATCAATAATATTATTAGTATATTTATAGATAAATTAATAATTTGATAAATATAACTTAGTATATATTAATATCCTTTTACAAAAATATAAATATATATCAAACCAGTATAAAAGTTACTGTTAGTAACTTTTAATTTATATATTAAAATTATTAAATTTGTAATGAGAGAGACTAAAATTTTATAATTATGATATTTGAGGGACTAAAATTGCACAATTATGATATTTGAGGGACTAAAAATGTTCAATTAAAAATTAAATGACCAAAATTGCACAATTATAATTCTTTAAGGACTAAAGTTACCCAATTAAAACCTTGAGGATCAAAATTGCACAATTACAATACTTGAAGGATAAAAATACAATTAAACCAAATAGAAATCTCTGTTATACAGAATTAAAATTAAATATCAACAAAATAATGTGAATACTGAATAATATATTATTAAACAAATTTTATTAAATTAATAAAACAGATAGAGATGGAGATTGGTGAAGTGGTTTGACTTGATCTAAAGCATTTAGTATTTTTAATATATGTTCGGGAGTTACTATTTCCTTTCTTTATGACCAGTACTTTTTCTTTCTCTTTGACTTTGAGGTGTTCCAATATCATTTTACTTGCTCTTTTTTTTTTTTTTTTTTCGTATTTAACACTAAATATTCATTGATTATAAAGGAAGTGAATTATGAAAAGAAAAAATGGTTCGAGTATTTTTGTGAATTTTTTTTTATAGGTATGTTATTAGTATGATATTTATTATAATAATCAATATTTAATTATAAATTAGTATCGGAACTATACATACAAGAGGAGATATCTAGTGAAAAATAAAAAAATAAAAAACACACATCCTTTCCTCATTTTGATTTATATTAGGAATTCTCTAGATGCCAACTTCTTCAAATGAGTCACTCTGGAATTGAGAAAGAAGACTTCTAATTAGGTACCTTTGGATTGTCTTCTTAACCAATCCCCAAATTATTTCAGACTGATATATCTTTAGATGTTGCAATTAAACTCAAATAGCTGTCTAATTCTACATAGTTGGCAAATTTCTCAGTCCAACAGTTTAATCATCAAATTACTTGATGTTTGTGGTAATATTAAAAGTTTTATTATTATTTTTAATATAAGGATATCAGAACGCTTAACAATAAATATTTAAGCATCATTAACAAAATTAGAGAAAAAAAAAACTGGGAAATTGCTATTGAACGTTTAAGGAGTTGAAGTTTTCCATTTTGTTAAGTAACTTGAATTAGTGGGTTATACAACGTGCTATAATAGTAATATTAGTCGTTATTTGTTAAAAAAATATGTTTTTTTCCCAATATAATCGTATAAAGGTTATATTAAGGACTTAAAATCATTTTAAACGAATGTTAATTATATTATTTAATTTATGTGTCTCGTTTCTAAATTATAAGTGAACAAATAAAAATAATAACGAAAGTAGTATCCAACAATATATTATATATGCATATGTACATGTGTCTATAATCATATTTTTATAACGATGACAATAGATAAGATCCTATAATACTCATTTTCATACTCACATTTTAAAATGATATTCATATTCATTTCATATATACCCACGGGTAATAATTTTAATCTCATCCTCGTACTCGCTAGATACCTATATATACTCATATCCGCACCCGTAATCCACATTTTACTTATATATAAAATAAATAAATTAATAAATAGATAACATTTCATACAAGTAAATATAATATTGATTTGTCAAGTCTTTAACATTACAAAAATTCAATATAACAATTCTTATAAATAAAGATCACAAAACATTTAATTTTTGTAAATAAACTTTTAAAAAATCAACCTAATATAAGTTATCATTAAACTTCCAACATCATGATCACGTGTCAAAAATATTCTTCGAGACCTATGAAAAAAAAATATAGAAATTAGTTAGATTAGAAATATAGATTAAATTATGTACTAAATTTTTTAAAAAAATATGTAGACATTTGACATCATTATCAAAATCAACTTCTTTATATTTTTGCAAACTCTTGTTTTCCAAGTTTATATATTATTTTGGTCCACTAATACCAATAGAAACTACATGACAAGAAAATGAATGATCAGATACCTTAAATTAATAATTAAAACACAAACAATAAAAAATAAAATAACTTTTATTAAAAAAATAAAATTTAATTATTTATTACCTTATTGCTTGTATTTCAATTAACTTTGTGTACACATAAGTGCCTTTAGAGTAAATTGATGGAGTCTAAAATGACGAGGACTCAAAAATCTACCTCATGTATTAAATGTAGATTTTGAAGCTAAAATTGAAATTGAGACTACCAACATCTTAACAACTTTTTGCAAAATTGGATACTTGATCTCATTTGTTTTCCACCATTAAAAAATGTCAAAAGTAACATTTGTAGGCAAAACTTTTTCTTTCAAAGTAAAGTCTTATTTGAAACTTTGTTTGTGTTTCAATTATATATCATTCATAAATGAGTTATAATCACTAAGAAAATTTATAATATTTAAATTATCAAAGTTTGACTCATTAATATTTGTTCATAAAGTTGAAAACTTCACGATTCTCTTAACTTTAGTTTGATACTCTTCAAACAATGAGTAACATCATTTTTTGATATTATTAATTTCAATTGAAAATGAACTATTCTAAATAGGAAAAAAGTATTCAAACAATTTCAACTTGTATTTTAAATATAAAATAATAGCAATAGTATTATACTAAATAATATATATATATATATATATGTTTATATAATTGCGGGACGGGACAAGCTGGGTACCATAATTCTCATACTCTATTTGTACTCACTAAATTTTGTGAGTCTATACTCATCTCATATCCATTCCTATCTAAGTAGATATTTACTTATCCAGCATGCTATTATTTTTGTGGCTATTATTTTTGTGGGTGTCCATGGGATCCGGATCTAGTTTATCATCCCTATATTTTCATGAAACGTAAATACTAATTAGCATTGTATTATTTTAAAATGTTAACATATTTTTATTACTTTATATAATTTATTGTAATTTTATTAATTAAAAAGACTATTAATTATTTAACAAAGTCAACTCTATATTTCATCATATAAAATATTCTAAAAACGGTATAAAAGAAATACTATAAGATGATCACATACATAAGAGTAATGAAATTTAACACGCCTTTAAATTTATTTTATATTTACTATTATTCTTTTATATATTTATCATTAAATTTAAAATAATAATTAATTTATGCATCATGGTACAAATAATTTTTACATATTATTTTTTGACATATACGATAAATTTTTTAACCAATAAATCTTTGATCTAAATAATATCAATTTCAAATCTTATAAAAAAATATGATTAAAAGAGATAATTAATTAAAATTAATCAATTTAATTTTTCAACAAAAATGAATTTTCAATAAAATCGATAAATACTCTATATCAATAATATGATTATAAAAAATATGATAAATTTATTAATTTTTATTATAATTATATCAAAAGTTTTGCCTGTTATATTTTTTAATTACCCAATAATATAATTCTTTTTACACCGATAATATACAGAAATTAAACTCAACATAAAAATAATTATATACTTTTTTTGATTACTTCTTATACGTGTGATGTATAATGTTTTTAAAAACTCTCCCTTTTTGATATATTTTATATTTAAAAATTAAATTTTAAACTTAAAAATTACCCATAGTTATTAACTTTTGAAATGATTTAGTATTTGTGATTTTTAATTAAAAATAAAAGTCTAATTTCTATCTTAACTACAGGATCGTGAATAAAAATCCCACTTTACTCGATTAAAGAACCAAGTGTTCCAAAATACTTGAATCACCCTACGTCTATGCTACAAAAATATATTCGCCCCTCCACACATTTAGTGATATGTTACCGTCCGACACCTTTAAACTTTATAAATCATTACGACAAATGTTATTTATTTAAGTTAAAAGTTAAAATAATTATTAAAAAATAATAATTTAATATTTTAAAAAGATAAAAAATTATAAATACAAAAATAAAAACTTATTTTACGAAGCCTTTTCCTTTTCTATAGTATACTTTTCATTTAACCGTGATAAACTTTTTGTCCCTAATATATTTTTTATAGTTCCGTCACATTGAACATATTAAAATTTAGGTGGGTCTAGAGCAAATGTAATGTTGGTAAATAATTCTGTTGTTTAAAGTGAGGAAAATTTTGCTAAACGTTAGTTTTATTTTATTGATTTATTTAACGCAGTGACTGGGTAGGATATCTGAGCATCTCAGAGTGATGGTGGAGGCAAATAAAGAAGAAGAGTCTCTCTTTCGTTCTATTTAAGGAGCACAAATTGTATAGGTGTAGCAACCCAATACATGTCATGCACATGTTCAACCAGACTCCGTATACGACCAAACTGCATTTACATTTATATCAGACTTCACTCACCGACTCCTCTTAGTTTCTCTCATTCATCAATTCACTTACAAAACCAAGGACCTCTCTCTCTCTCTTATCTACAATTCTTTGGATAAATATATCAATTCACCCCTTCTTCCTTTCTGTTCTCTTTAGCTTGTAATCATGGCCACAGCAGATATTGCTCGAACAGTGGTTGGCATCATAGGTGAGTCAAATTGCTAAACTTTATCAATAATTTTCATTCTTATTCATCTCTCTCTCTCCATAATCTTCTTATTCTTAACTTCAGGAAACATCATCTCAGGCGCCTTGTTCTTGTCCCCAGTGTAAGCTTCATCTTTCTTCCTTAACTTTATTTTTTATTTTTTTTTATATACAAAAAATTATTACTTCATACTCATGCAAATTACTAAAGCATAGTGGATTACTTTTTCTTTCTTTCTTTCAATGCAAAGTCATATATGATACACATGCAACCTTTTAAAACGACAGTTACAGTCACAGTAGCAACCTTTTAAAAGGACAGTTACAGTCACAGTAGTTGTCTGTGAGATCTAATTATATGGAGGATTTTTTTAAACAGTTAAATATAAGTTTAAAATCTCTTTTAAAAAAAACAAAAGTTCTGATCATTTATCACTTTGAAAGACTTGTGGTTGGATGTTGATAGTTAAATTGGCGAGCCATTTTACTGAATTAGCTACAAACCTCTCCATTAAAGACTCTTTCTGACCCACGGGTGCTTGAGGACATTCTTTATTACCGCTTAAATATTTGATTTTTATTTTCGAGTGGTGCACTAGAAACAAGTTGCTTCTCCTAGGAAGAAAATATTTGTTTGACCTTTATGAATCTCACGAAGGAGAGTAGGAACAGATCATTTCACGTTAGTTTTTTTTATTTTGTTATAAAAAAAATAGATAATTTTGTTTCTATGTTTTTCATTTTATTATAAAAAAAAATAATTTTGTTTCTATGTTTTTCATTTTATTATACAAAATAAAATAATTTTGTTTCTATGTTTTTTTTAACATCTGTACTCATATATAAAAAACATTTCATATATTGAAAAATTTAAATATACAATATTTAATATATATTTTCATTTGATAAAATATTAAATATTTTTTAAGTTTTCCAAACATTATTTCTTTTTTATTTTTTTTATAAGAGTTTGAATGACCACTAAAATTAGTCTAATGATTAAAAAGATGTTGAGATAAAAATAATTGAACACATATTTTATTTTTGTCATATTTATGAATAAATAAAAATATTAAATTTTTTAAAATATCTTTTGCATTAATTTTTTTTTCAATATTATATTTAATTATAAATCTTTTCTCTATATTCAATAAATAATACGTGTATTAATGTATGAGATGTATTAACGTCTTAAGTTATTCAAGAGTTTGACTGCCTTTATGAGGAGACTTTTAAAAATCTTATCTTGACCTTTCACATTTATAGCTTATAAACTTAGGACAATAAATATATTAATGATGAGAGAATAAAAGAATTATAATTTTTTTTTAGAAACCCCTTCATCTCAAAATGTATGCCGTTTCAAGATTTTATATATATTAATAATAATAATAAATATATAATTTTTATATAAATTTATTAAAATAATATTATAGTTTTAACAAATGTATTGTTTTTTAATTTCGGTAGTTAAATAATTTATGAATAAATTAATTAATTAAGAAAATAATACTCCATTTGAACCAAAAATTGTTATAACAATTTTTCATCTCCTTAAGAAACATCTAATGCTAACATGTTAAATTTAAAATACTCTCATTTAATATCTTTCATAAGAATAATTATGAGTAAAAAGTAAAACATTTTGAAACAAAAAGAAAGCTTAAAAAATAAAAATAAAAATAGTACTAAAGAAGTAATTCATATTATATTAAAAAGTGAGAATATCAATTATTTTAAAATGTTTTTCAAATACTAAGATTATAGTCAAGTTGAGACAAAGTATTAATAAGAATATACTCCCTTTGTTCCAAATTAATTACAATTTTAAAATTTAAAAACTGTCCAAAAATAATTGATGTTCTCACTATTCAATATAATATTAATTTTTTTTCTATTTTTTTATTATTAATTATTCAATTTTCACTATTAAAAATAATGCACTTGTTGAATGCGTGGGATATAAAAAAGTGATATATTTATTATTATTCTTAATTTATGTATGAAAACCTTAAAATGCAAGCATTGTGAGATGAAATGAGTACACATATATATAAGCAAAAATAAGTAGCTTCACACATGTTAAAAAAGTTTATTAAATACATTTAATTTTAACAATTTTACATAAAAATATACACTACATTATCTAAATATCCTTAATCACATTCATAATTGATAGTACTTTCATTTATTACAATAAGAGTATTTTTGAATTAAAAACATTAATTAAATAAGTTTGACTTAATTGAAATTTACCCACATTCTGATTTAAAAAAATTGATTTTTTGTTTATGTATAGGCCCAAAGGAAGTATTAATTTCATCAATGTTTAGAGTAATTATAGAAATAAAAAAATATGTAAATATAAGACAAATTTAAGGTTACTAAGTAAATTAATTAATTTTATTTTTTTAATATATTAGTTAATTGAGTTTTATTAAAGAAAAGAAACTAGAAGTAGATACTACATTCATTCCTATTTATAAGACCCAATTTAGAATCATTGTTTGATTTTTTATATAAGATTTAATTCAAAGTGCTTGATGTATTAATTATTTTTAGACTAAAATATACTCCTAATTAAAATATGTTTTCTTAATTTGATGAAATATATTAATTATAGAATCTTTAAAAGGAATGCATTCTAATTAATTAGGAGAGTAAACAATTTTAATTATGAAAGAGAAGTAATATATAACATGTACTCTAATTGATTAAGAGAGAGGTGAGTATTAATTAAAAGAGAAAAGTAGTATAATGGCAATTTTTAAAAAAATATAAAAATAAGGCAAATTTATTATTATCAATTAAATTAACTATTTTTTTCTTAATATTAGTGAATTAAGTATTTAAATCTCAGTATATATAAAATTAAGATAGTATCATATATATATTTTTTAAAGAGTTGGGCTCATGTTTCATGGGGGATAATGATTACTCTTGGGACCACAACCCTAATTGATGGATTTTGATTATGTGTAACCACACACATTTATACAAAAACAACACTTAGGTACAATTATATAAGTATTGATAGTGCTATTATCCAATTAAAATTGAAATTTTACCTCATTAATATAGGTTTAGATTTAATGTGGTCCTTAGTGACATCTATTTGTATATATGACTAAGATAAAACTTTAATTTTGATTTAGATCTAATATTAGCAATATTTATGAAATTGTACTTAAATTTTATACTTTACATGATAGTAATGAACTAACATGTTAAATCCAGACCAAATAATTAAAATCTTGAATATTTAATTATATTTTTAAATCAAGTATAGACTACGAGTTTTTATTTATTTATTTATTTTGAAATAACAGGCCCACTTTTATCGAAATATTCAAGAAGGGATCGGTGGAGCAGTTCTCACCAGCACCATACCTAGCCACACTTGTGAACTGCATGGTTTGGACCTTGTACGGACTACCCATGGTTCACCCACACAGCATTTTGGTGGTAACCATTAACGGTTCAGGGTGCGTCATTGAGCTCATCTTTGTGACCCTCTACTTGATCTACTCTGATGGAAGAAAAAGGCTCAAGGTTTTCTTGTTCCTCTTGGTGGAACTAATCTTTATCACTGCTCTTACCCTTATCACATTAACTACGGCCCACACTACTAAGAAACGTTCAGCCATCGTTGGGACCACTTGCATTCTCTTCAACATTATGATGTATGCTGCACCCTTAGCTATCATGGTCAGTGGTCACACCTCTCTCACTATTACTTGTTTTTAAGTTTCCATAGACCGACCATCTGAATCTTTAGTTTTGGATGCATTCATTTATTTTATACCATATCTTCATCGCTTAAATTTGCATGGAAAAAGATTGGTTGCAATGAGAGGCACGTGGGGACAAACTATAATATTATTCATTCATGTAACACCAAAATTTTAAATTGCAAACGCATGATTAATTAGCAACCAATTACTACGTATTTAAGGTAATTACATGGTTAATTATGTTGATTATTGCGGTGCAGAAACTGGTGATCAAGACCAAGAGCGTTGAGTACATGCCATTTTCCATCTCTCTCGCCTCTTTTGGGAATGGCGTGGCTTGGACCACTTATGCTCTCATCCGTTTCGACCCATTCATCACTGTAAATAAAAATTTCATTTTGAAGAATTTTAAAATCTCTCCTTTTCCTTCGTTTAACCATATATATAATATAATCACTTAAAATTGAGAGTGAATAACCTCTTGGTATTGTGGTTAATTGTCAGATACCAAATGGGCTTGGGACATTATTTTCGGTGGCGCAGCTGATTCTGTATGCAACCTATTACAAGTCGACCAAGCGGCAAATAGCAGAAAGGAAATCTAACAGGGAGGTGAACATGTCGCAGGTGGTGGTGGCTAATGGTGGTCAAGAATCCAAGCCTGAAGATAATCGATCATGATTGTTATCATCAATCTCCTTTTGTCCCCGTTGGTGTCCCAATAAGAGGTTTCATTTGATGCAAGTTCAAACATTCGCCTAAAGCAATGTTGTTTTTGTTTGAAGCACATTAATCAGATCACATCAACTACAACAATTTTAACTTCTAGATGTCTCTTAACTAACGTTATAGTATTAATTATTAGCCTCTATTAACTAATCGAATATGAACAACTCACGTTAGAAAGTAAAGTAACAAATCTCAATCATTGATAACAAAATTAACTGTTGATAATATACCCATGTGCATAACAAATCATGGGCGTGTTAAAATTGATGATTTTTCACATCAACTAGTAAAATTTGCTAATTTACACAATTCAAAATGACTAGCTCACTTTAGAGTAACCAGTTTCAAAAACTTTAATCCTAGGCAGAAATCGCGAATGACAACCCTTAGTACAGTAAGAAATTCACGTATTTACGGAGTCAAATTAGATGTGGAATATTTAGAGTAGACACGAAAGTCATTCAGTCACAGAATCAGCAAATCAAAAGTGTCGGATATTTATATCAGATATTGAAAATTTAAGTGCATGTTTCGGTTCGAATTTGCAGACCAACTGTAAGGCGTTAGCTGTCCAACTTTCATCCAACGGTTCCGATTTACTAATTGCGTGAGTTTGTTGACTGCAACAAATCCAAATCCAAAATTTAAGAGATTGTTAGATTACAGAATTAGGTTGTAATAGACTATGGTGGTGGCAGAAAAAATTGCGTCAACGGTTAAATGAAGAACAAAATTAGTTATGCTTTTTTCTTTAAATAAACACCAAAATCAGCTGAACTTTTTCTCCTACAAAATTCAAAATTGCCTTTGGAAAAGATAAATGAAAAGTTTAAAGTTTCAACAAGTTATAAAACCATTAATCATTTAGTCTTTGAAGAGGATAATTAGATTTTTATATAACGAAAAAATCCAGTGGTGATGTGCTTTCTAATCTGATTAACGAAAAAATAAAAAGGAATATAATATAGACAATGCTGATGTGCAAACCTCCAGCAAAAGATTCTAACTGCAGATTTTTTGAGAAATTAAAACAAGTATAAGAAAAAAGGACTCGCCTATTCCAGCAGCCTTCCAAAAGAATCCCTGAAACCTGCATGGTGACAGTAAAACAACTTTGTGAGCATCGGATAGTCCAACAAAAGCTACTACATTTATCAATTTAAATTAAAGCAGAAAGAGAGGAGTAGTCATTGATGCTTAATTGAAGAAACAAAGCCTCAAGAAAAATGAGACCAGAAAAAGAAGTTCGAGATGAAAGTACGTCCTATTTAATTTGACTTGTGTATACATACACAAACACAAATAAACCATCCTTTGCAGGACAGATCCCGCATGAGAGACTGGCCTTATAAATTCATTTGTAAGGTATGTTTAGGATGTAAATTTTTGGGAAGGGAAGGAAAGGGGTTATCTTGTTCATTTCAGGTAAATATTCTCTCTAAGAATTTTTAAAAATCAAGGGAACAAAATGATATATTATCCCAAAACCTTCCAATTATCCCTTGTTTTTTATTTATTTATAAATATTATATAATTATCATAATTGAAAAATGAAAATTGTGTCCTCCCTTCCTTTTTCCTCCAAAACCCTCTGTTCAATCATGCCCCAATGGTTGTTTAGTAGAGGTATAAGTATAGAAATATTTTGGTAGGAGGTAAAAATATATTGGCTACAGCCGACAGATATTGCTTACCTGAAGAAAATATACATCCTTATGATAGGGCAGTACATCATTTTTACTTCACCATATTTATTATCCCCATCCCCCTTCAAAAGAAAATGTAATCCTTATTTTCTTTCCCCTTACTTTGCCTCCTTTTATTCTCAAGCAAATGCTAAACGTGTAACCGTAAGTGGCATGAATTGAGAATCATACTTTAGCCATGCTTCAAATCTATAACTAGACTATTTTGTGTAAAAGCTCCCACCTAAAAACTAATTAAGCAGTAAATTGATTTAACATAATAATCTAAACAGGGTGCAGCATTCCATAAGTTCATTGGATGGTCTTAAACATGAGATCACCACTAACAAAAAGTCCATTGCCAATTTTATGCCGCAATCAAGGACTAAATGCCTAATGGTTCATCTGGGAATGCAGAGACAATTGAAGGCCCATTGAGTACCATTTTAAAGCTTCCGAACAATAATACTTTCTCTGACTGGAGAGTATGAAGTACATAAATTTGGTCTGTGTGTAGAACAATTTACCCTTGACAAGTAACAAAACTTATTGCTTTACAAAAGAATCAAACGTATGAACTACAACATGACTCATTGATGTCAAGAATGAAAATTAAAAAGATTTTTTTTTCTTTCTAAATAGCCAGTTATGTGCTCGAGGATGGCGGGGAAGTGCATCCTGAGAAAGGTGCAGGTACAAATGAAGAACAACATGGAAAACAAAATCACAGGGCTCGGAATGATGATATGAACCAAATGAGAGAATTGAGTTAGAAAAATAAAAGCAAATAATATAACGGAGTTTGTTTAGTAGGATCTGCGAGTGAGAGGAATTAAGGGTCTAAGTGGGGTTACTTGTATTGTACTCCCAGGGAACACCGTCAATAACTTGTTATGGCACTCCAAGTCACTTATTTATAAGACCACCGTCTTCTGTTCTGCTACAAAAGATGCACCGTCCACCAGTGTAATCCCACAGTTTTCTCCTATATTAACGTTACATTACCACAAAAATTCTAAAATAACTTGAGTGATGCTATACATTTCGAAAAACACAGTCCAATCATCTTTGGAATTAATAATAAAATGACATTTGTTAAAAATTTTAAAATATTTCATTATGTGTGTGGGTTGATTTTTCAACTATTTTATTCGGAAAATGTAGCATTTTGGCAATAACTTAAAATACTATTTTTTCCCCTAAACGTCATTAATAACATGTTAATATATATACCTTTTATTCTCTAGAATTCAAAATAGAATTTTTTTTAATTTCTATATTTATGTTTTTCATTTTCTTAGTTTAAGATATATCATTTTAATTTTTATACTTATAATTTTGTAATTTTTTTAATTCTCATTGTTATTTTTTAATATTATATGTTTTATGTTAACATTGTAAAAGTTAAGTTTGTGAGAATAAAAAAAATTGTCTCAAAATTGACTGTATATAAAATATAAAAGGAGTATGAAGGATCATTTTATCTAAAAAAAAATATAAATTGTATATATATTTTAGTTGTTATTGGTGTTAACATTTTTTGGCATAAATTATTATTATCAACTAACAATAAAAAAAAGACGCTTTGACTTTCATAAGAAAAATAAATATTTTTAAATAGAAATGGACAATATTATTTTTAAAAAGTAATATTATTTTATATATACATTATTTTTGTATTTTATCTTAAGATATATATGAGTGGAAAAAATATAAATATAGGAGTATAATTATCTTTAAAAAAATAAACACTAAAAAAGAATATCCTCTTTATATATGATTATAGATATAAAATATAGATATAAGTATTTAACAGTTTCATTTTGAAAAAAATATGATATTTTTCTTTGAAAAAAATGATACAACTTGTGTTGGACTTTTTATATTTTGGTATAAATATTTGTGAAACCTTATATTTTAGTTTCAACAGTAAAAACTATTTATTTTAATTTTTATTAACGTACAAAAGATATTGTGTCTTTATGAATTATTTTAAAAATAATAAATAATAATTAAAAAAAATACAGAGGTAACAATTTGAAAAAATCATGGTAGTTGTATGTTTTCGAAACCACGTTTTTTTTGTCAAATTTTAAAGATTTCAAAAGTGTACGGTTATTTTATATTTGTTTAATTTCATTTTGTTATTTACTTTTTTATTAGTTATATTTTGTTTTCTAAAGGATAAACATGTCAAATAAATGTAGACACGAAATAGGATATTGCTTTTATACATAGTTATAAATATAGATAAAAAAACATCTTATTTTTGTTTATTGACTTTAATTTTAATATCTATTTATTTTTAATTTTATAAAAATTAAAAACATAACTTTTTAAAATAAAAATAAAAATAAAAAATAAGATAAATTTTATTATATAATAAATTTATTTGCTTTTATAATATTTTATTAAAAATATTCATAATTTAATTTCTATTTAATTTTACACTAGTAATGAATGAAAATTAAATTCCAAATACATGTTGCGAGATAAAAATAAATAAATTAAACTCCTAAATTTATTTATTAAATCAGTGAAAGTTAACTAATAAAAAAAATCAGTCAAAGTTAAATTAAGATATTTTTGAAGTAATATTCATATATTAAATACGAACCATAATATTTTTGAAGTAATATCCATTTATTAAATACGAACCATTTTGTTGTATGAGAGTAATTTTAAGAATTTTTTTAAGAAAGTGTTTTAAGAATTGTTTTGATTACATATTTAATTTAATTTTTATTAATTGTAATTATTTATAAATTAAATTTTAATTTAAATTTAAATATAATTTATATATTTAAAAATATATGTTTATTCAAATTTTAAATATAATTTATTTATTTAAATACAAAATTTATTTATATATATAATTTATAATTTAATTATATATAATAAACATTTAATATATATTCTACACGCTAAAAATACTAGTTGTAAATTAGTCGGTTCAGGTTGATCCTCTCTCTTCCCGCGCTCTCTCACCTTGCAAATTTTGAAGATGAAGGATTCAATAGGTTAGGAAGAGTGAAGAACACTCGTTATTTTCCTCTCGCATCTGTACTCAGTTTCCAATTGTGTGAATGGGGGACTCGAAACGATGGACGGTGACCTACACAAAGCACATCAAACAGAAACGCAAGGTCTACCAAGATGGATTCCTAAACCTCCACGTTTCCACCAGCAAGGTATTCTATCAAGCCTTTCACCGTAAATTACCGAAAATTTTCAAAATTAGTTCGCTAGAATTGGAAATTGCTCAATCACAAATTCTCATCAAGTGCGCATATGGAAATCGATTTCGGACAGAATATCTCATTTATTTTCTCAATCATTATCAGGTATTGCTGTATGATGAGTGCGAAAAACTCTTGGAGTGTAGGCTCTTAAAGAGTGACGAAACTGTGACATCTGGTGAGACATTGGTTTTCAACGGTTACCTTGTTGACATCGGTGATCCCGAGGGAGACAACAAGCCTGAATCTGATTTCAATGATGATAAGAAACACAAGAATCAATCGAGATTCAGGACTCCTTCTGGTTTGAATTCTCTGAAAGCCTCTCTTTAAGTTTATATATTGAGGATTTGAAATATACATTATTTTTTCTTTAAATTTAGGCATTTGAAGTTCTTAATCATTATTTGCTGCTTATGTCTTTCTGGTTTATGAGAAGATGCAAAATATTCCAAAGTGAATGAGAAGGAGAATGTTGCATGTGTGCGGAGACCTCTCAGTCCATCACAAAAAATTATCAGAGGTAGACAGACGCATCATTATTTTCAGGATTCAACTTCTTAAATTTTGTGAAAGTATGTTTATGCTCTGAGAGTATCCTTTTGAGTTTTGACCTTTTCAACTATTTGAAAGTTCAACCTGTTGCGGTTTGGCTTCTAAATTGTAAGTGACTTGTAGAGGCTTAGAGTCACTATTCCTATAATTATCAAGTCCCATTGTGTGTGCCATTACTTATTTAATGCTGTGCCATTGATCTAGAGTGCAACAAGTAATGGTGATAATTTATTAACTGCAGTTACTTGTATGATTTGCTGTACAATTTAGCTGTATATGTATGATAGTTGTAAAAATTGCAGAATTTAAGAAGAGAGAACTTCTCAAGTATGGATCGCCAAAGATCAGTCAGGAAAATCCAGAACCTAGTACCAAAGGTTAGTGTGTCATCCAGATAAATTTTAATTTCCATGCTGGGCTCTCTCTGCTTTACTTCCTCTTTTATTTAGTGCAAATAATGGGAATGCAGCGTAAATTCTGCCTTGTCACTGTCTTATATTCAAAGTCAAGATGCTTAATGAAACTGACAGTTAATGTCAGGACTTTATGATATTGTCTAAGCAACTTCCATTTTCCTATCTTCTAACTATCCTAAATTTTTCTATTTGCTATTAGAGTGGCATGTTCTATACACCACACAAGTGACTCAGAAGGCAAAGAAGTACCATGATGGTTTTTTACGACTAGTTCTTCGTGGATTCAGCGGAGCTCAGGTGAGTTTCAGACGTATATTTCCTTTATCAAAAAGTCAATATATGTTCTGATTTCTAGGTATGATTGGTGAGATCATTTTAATAAATACACTTTTTAACCCATTTTATTTGTTATCCTTCTGATTATGTGATTTCTAGCAATTATTCTCCCCCAGCCCACACCCAATTAAGCTCATCAATAAGATTTTGATTTCAAGCTGTTTTGAACAAAACTGAGCTAATCCAAGTACACCTTAAATCTCCCTATGAGTAGTCACATATTAGTTGTAGTCAGGATTCAATGAAGGAGGACACAATGAATGCAGCAATTCTCGAATGAGCATGGTTTCTACAGGCAAAAGGCACAACTAATCAAAAACTCAAGATAATTTGAAAATAATTTAAACACAATCTTGACTATAGGCTTTATTATTATTTTAATGTATCTTGAACTTTTGATTGATTGTGCCTATAATATAAAGTATAAACCTTGTACTGGTGTAAAAATTGTTCCAAACTTCCTAATTTCCTATGAATGCTCATTTTGTGTGTATATTTCAGGTTATGCTGTTTGATACAAACAGGAAACTCTTAGATAGTAGATTCCTTAAGAAAGATGATGTAATAAAACCTGGTGAATCAATTTCATTCGATTCATATTTGATTGACATTGATGAGCAAACTGAGGATCAAGGAAGTTGTACACCAGATTCTAATGTTCAGGGAGACAGGTATACTAATGTTAAGAGAATGAAGCTGAACAGACAGAAAACTCTTGAAAATGAGACCCATGTAATTGTTGAAAAAAGTGGTAAGCAGATAATTATCGTGATATGAAAATTTGTAATATATGGCCAGTTGTTTTTTTTGCATCAGTTCTTCCTTTTTTTTTTTTTTTTTTAATTTTTAAAGATGCTTATAGATATCATTTTCCTTATACTGTTATACATTTCCAATGAATTCTTACATATGATATAGCTGTCTCTCTTATTGCTAAATTATGTTATTATACCTGTTTTTAAATTGGAGGAAGAAAGGGTAAAAGAAAAAGAGGGAGTCTCTGCATGCTAGTGGTTCACATAATTTGCTCCAATGAGTTGACAATTATTTACAAATCACAATGATGAATTTAGCTATTTTATTTAGTCGACTGTGTTAATCTAATATAGTGGATTTAGAATACAAAGTTTATCATGTCAGAGGTTGCATTTGTTTTCTGGTTTGATTATCTTCATTTATTGTTCACTTATATCTCTTTCCTTTCTTTCAATTTAGAATGGAAGGTCCTATACACCACACAATTAACTCAAAAATCCAAGAAGTATCACGAAGGCTTTTTACAAATTGAACTTTGTGGATCTTTTGGGAAGCAGGTTAATTTTTGTTTTTTCACACATGCTATAATTTTATCTTTTACCTTTTCAATCCGTCCTGTCTGTATATCTATATGCCCCTTTTTATCTTTCACTAGTTTGTTTTCAATTTCTTTTTACTTTAAACTGAATCCTTGGATGAGTTTCTAGAATTTATTTGAGCTTATGAAAATGACTTATGACTCATATGTGCTTGTATTAATTTATTTCAGTAAGTTTAATGGTTTAATTTATGAATAAGTTTTCATGTTGATGTGATAAAAGCTTATCAAATAAGTGATTAGCTTAGTTGTTTACTTAAACACCCTAAATTTATGTGTGTATGTGTGAGTGTGACAGGGTTAAATTATTAATTATGCTTTCTTTAATGTTATTTTTTCAGGCTGTTCTGTGTGATTTGAGTAGAAGCCCTTTAGAACGCAGGTTCTTAAAGAAAGATGAAGTTATAAGGGCAGGTGAATCAATATATTTTGATGGACATTTGGTTGAAGTAGGAGAACCTAAAGGAAGTCATCACTCTCCAACTAAGTTAAATGAAGGAGGGACTAATAATAATGTTGTTGAGAGGAGACAACTAGGACATGGACAAAATGACTGTCACAAGGTCAATCCATCTTTTGCTAAAGGTTAGTACCCGGACTAATTCAAAAGTTTCCTTTTTCTTTTTAGTTGTGTAGTCATATTACTATTTAGTTCTATGCATGTCCTCTGAATTTAAATGTATTATTATCCCTTGTTTTGTAACCCCTTGATCTCATGAAGTTAGAATATCTTGTCCATTGTATACTTCTTTTTCTCAATTAGTTTGTTTTTGCCTTTTAAGCTTATGTCCAATTTTATTATTTATGGATTAATGACATTCATTTATCTCAAATTGGTTGTAAAAAATAAATATTGAGTAATAATGATTCGAAAGCCAAAAAGAATATTATATATATATACCCTTTAGATAAACAACTTAATTAAGTGCATAGGATTTAGTAAGTTCTTATCATATAAAGACTTATTCCATAATTTTGACAATAAACTTACTGGAATAAATAAACTAAAATGAGCTTATTTTAGGACCAAGTAGCTCATTGAAATAAGATTGGAAAGAGCTTATGGGAGTCATAAGCTATGTTCATAAAACTCAAATATGCTCCCCATAGAAGTTCTTCCAAACGCCAATATAAAGGGGTAAACATTACAAACCTTAAAATCAGTAAAGTTGTAGGAGACAAAAGGAAGCTAGGAATCTTGAAATAATTGACAATAAATCACGACAAAAACCCTTAAACTGACTCCTAGGAAGCAGGAAGTATATATGGAATTAGCTGTCGACAAGTTTCGATTTTCTTTTTCCCCTCAAATGTTTATGGTTATACCATGCAGGAAAACCTCCGAGTGAGCTTTGTGATTCAGGATTGAACTTTCTGATTACCAAGCTAGAAGAGATAAAATCAATCGGGATAACCCCATCAATCAAGCCTTTACGTGATGGTTCGTACTTATTAATTGCCCGCTGTCTTAACTCTCGTCTTCCTGTGAATTAATGTTTTTCTTCATAAGTATGAAATTATGAATATGAATATCCTACATTAAGATCACGTGTTTTGGGTACATTACATTAGGATCAAGTTGATTTGTGATTTCTAATTCAAACAATTATGTTCAAATGTAATTGATGGATATCCATCATCATATACTTGCGTCGGCATCTCTAAATTTAAATAACAAAGTCCTCTTGATACGGAGTAAACCTAAAGTTGGATAGGGCTGTTCATTATGCAACAAGAGACACATCATGCTATAAAGCACCAACATATGTACACAATGTTGGGTTGACATATCCGGCACGTTTTTGCCAAAACATTTGTCAAACATGTCATGATATATCATATCACAATTAAAAATTATTTTTATTTTGCTTTGGATACTGACATAATTTTTAACACTTTTCTGACACGACTTAAACATAAATTAAGAAAGTGAATTGACTCCTACACTTAGTTAAACACTTATCTAATACTCTTATTATAAAAAAAATAAAGTTAAAAAGTCAACCTATTTATAAATATTGCAAGGCTTGTAACAGTTTTTTTTATTTATCTTAGACTTATTTTCATAAGGATTACTCGAGGTTTTCACTTTTAAGAGATATGGTTCAGTTTTCTAAGAATCATTATCAGATAAAAAATTGTAAAACTTATATATACATGCTGTGTCTCCCTATCCTACTTTTTGGATATTAGCCGTGCCTCAATGTGTGTTTGTGTGCGTGTTGTGTTAGGTGTCTGTCAAAGTTAATGCTTCATAGTAGTCATGGATCACTATGACATAGCCTATGATGTCTCGTGGGTTTGCTGCTCATAATATATTAGTACATTATTTCTACATGCAACTGACTTCTGGTATTTGGCAGCCAATCAAATATTGTCCATTTTACAAAATCCTAACCCGAAGTCTCAGGAGAGTTATGTAACAGGTTAGACATATAACTTAAGTAGATATAGAGGTCCCTTATGGCCTGATGACGTTATTATATGGGATTTCTATAGGAGGCCGATCGCTCAATGGGTCTCGTCAAAGTACTGGGGACAGGCAATCAACTGAGACTGTGAAATCCCCTGATATTGTGTCTTCGGCATGTAAGTCAAGATGGAATTATTGGATTTCTAGCACATTCAATTGTGATTTTCCTACATATTTTCTTAGAATTTTGACTGTTGATATTGAGATATTAGTAATTCTTGGTTGACTCTGCTTGAAATGGGTTCTATAGCAGCATGTAGTGGTGGTAGCTTCCAATTTACCGAGAATGTTAACATGTCCCACCAGGTATAGTCTCTCTTAGTTTGCATTTTCTGAAAGTGACATTATATTTCATATGGGTCTTTTGATGATTAGATATCATGTAAGTAGATATTACTTGCAGATAGCATGCAGAGTGTTCATTTATGTTTGAGGCGTTAATGTTCATGTAGTTGAGTGTTCAGCTATCTCAAATTTTGTGTTTGGTTTTTAAATTGTGTATGTAGTCCCTCTCTAAGAAGGATGCCCAGACAAATATAAGAGAGACAGATGTTGGCTCTCAGTCTTGCCTCATAACCAATGAAGGGGAATGTGGCGAAGAGTTTTCAGGTAAAAGGGAAACGTTACCAAGCTTTGACCTTGGATTTTAACAGGTAATGTATCTTAAACGCATGCTTCTTTTTTTTCCTCATTTCTTCTTCTGGGAAGTCGCCGTCCTAGACATTTTCTATACTATTTTTGCCACCTTCCGGTAATTTGGCATATAACTTGCATAATAATCATTTAAAAATTGAAATGAAGAAAAAAGTATTACCTGCCTACCTGACATGAAATAATGAGTGCATTTGTTGTTTGTTGTTTCGTGGAGGGTAGCATCTAGCATACAAACACTATTTGTTTAGGTCCTTAGGCGATGAATGTTACCCGTCGTTATTTTCTACAAGCTTTCTGTTATGATCGGATGTTTAAATGGAGAATGAAATTAATAAAAAAAAATATTTTATTACTTAAATAGATAACTAATTCTATTCATATCCACCAAATTGAAGTAGAGTAAAAAAAAAAGGCAAAAAAAAAGTAGAAAATGACTAAATGTTTTATTATTCAAAGTTGAGATTAAAATGATTGTTTTGTAATGTTAGGGATTAAAATGTCTAATGCTTACGATTTGTTAACTAAAAAGGAATTTACTTGAAAATGAAATGGTAGCGAGAAATTCATGAATTTGAAAAATGAGTGATATTTTCGTAGGTTTTATCTTGTAATGTAGAATTCTTCAAAATTATAATGCTAATTGTTTTAAACCTTATTTATTATAAAAACAAATTAATGTTCGTTATTATATTTCGAGTTTTCAACTGTTAAGAAAGAAAGGCTAAATAGGTCAGAGCAGCGATCTGATAGTTTTATTGATTGATGTTGCATCCGCAACGCGTTCTAAATTCGAATTTTCTCCATTAAGCAGTATCTATCTGAGATGTGACATTGTTGGATCCTAAATAAGGACCGAGTGCTTGTGTAGAAGGTACATATCAAAATGTGGGGCCAGTATGTCAGTTATAAATATGATTTTTATAATTAAAATAAATAAAAACCAACTATTTACAATTAAATAATTTAATTACTAGTATCGATTTAGTAGTAGAATCAAATAATATGTATAAATTTTTCGGTTTGAATATCAGTGTCAATTTAAAAAAAAATTGTAAATAATTAGATGATCAACAAAGAACTTGAGTGAAGTGTAAAAAAAAAGAGAAGAGATTTAATACTTCATTTGGCCTCTAATTTTTTTAGAAATTTTTAATTAGATCATTAAATTAAAAAAATTGTAAAAGTCCTTCATCTTTTTATATTATTATAATTTAACTTCATCGTAAAAATGATGTTTTAAATTAAAAGATAATGCTAAAATTGGAGCGTTAAAATTTACTCCGTAACAGTATGGCTTTTAAATTTACATGTTTATATAAATATAAATATGACCGACATGATTTGTTTTACAGATCAAACTTCAAGAATTTCACTTATTTGTTTTCCATCAATTTTTTTTTCTCCTTTCACGTTCTCTCAGTTCTGTGTCATTCATTTTATTTTTAGTTGCATATCTCATTTTATCTTATTCGTTTTTTAAATCTATTAATTTTTATAAATTAAATTATTATAACTTAATAAATAAATTAATCTATTTAATAACCTTTTTGGTAGTGCCAAGTTTGAGAGATAATGTGTTCACGAGATTCTTAAGTTAAAAAAGATAAAAATAAAAGGTATGTATACATGGGATCTATTTAAGAATATCATTCAAGGGTGTGTTTGGAAAGGGGAAGTGAATAAGAAGAGAAGGAAAGTATGGAGTAGAGAGATATTAAAAAATAGGATGTATTTAGTTTAAAAAAAATAGGGTGTGTTTGGTATGATGAAAGAGGGGGGAAGTTTAAGTATTTTTATGTGGATCCCATGGTACACAATTTCTCCACTAAAACTAGGGAAATTTACTTTTTATAAAAACAAAGAAGGGAGGGGTCATAATATATAAATATATATATAATGAAAATAATTTTTATTTATTAGTTATAAATAAAATTATTAATAAAAATAAACTTCTAATTTTATTTTTTATCTATTTTTTTATCAAACAATTTTTTATTTCTACTCTATTTTTCTATGCACATATTATTTTCTTTTTCCTTCAGTTCTTTTTTCTCAAATACATGTTAAATTACGGCGTGTTGAATTTTTTAAGGAGATTGGTTAATTGTTTGTGGTAGAACGCATCCTAATTGCTCTCAAGCCCTTATTGGGCCTATTCTTGATTGGACCAAATCGAAACGTTTATTTATTTATTTATTTTGATAGAAATCATATATCTTTTGTGATAAAGAAATTATTGAGTCGGGTAGAATCAGTGAGCGATAGAATTTTCCTTCTCAATATTTAATGAAATTACTTACTCAGAATTGAACCTTAAATCGGTAATTAAATAAGAACAATATTATGTTAGTTGATCTACATTCTCAATGTGTTTGAGGCACCAAACGTTGGTTTATACTTTCCAAAACACACAACAATGTCGTGTCCTGGCAGCGTCTAATTATTGTTGATTAATTTTTGTTTTTAACTTTGGGCAAAACCTTTTTCATTTTTAATATAAATTGGCCAATTTTCAAAGAAGAGAAAATGAAAAACCTAGTTAATATGTTTTGAAATATTTTATGTAAATATGATTTTATATAAAAGAAACAAAAAATTATATGTAAAATGGAAAAATATCTTCAATAAAATAAAAGAGCATAAAAATAAAGACAATTAAGTCATTTAGTTGTAAATCACCCTTTTACCACCTATTCTCACCGAATTCTAAGAGTTACATTTAGACATGAGTTTCACATTTTATCATTTCACTTTTTAAAGGTAAAAGTGCTAATTTTTTTTCACCCCTCTACTATCATCAATGATGTTTTTGTTCGAAACGTATTGTAAATATAATTAAAACTTGTATTTAAATTAATTTTAATTATAAAATTTACAATAAAACATAGTACATTTCACTGGGAAGGATTAGTTTTATGTATTTCACAGACAAGCCAATAAGATTTATGTACTTAATAAACAAAATCGATTGCATTCTGTGTTAAGTACTTTTTTTTTAAGTTTATGATAAAGCTTTAAAAGAAGTATTATTTCTTAAAACATATACTAGTATGTTGCGGAAAATTCTAAATTGCGCTGAATTTCCCTTATCTGCATTTGAGTGATAGGATAGGATACAACCTCTTCACTTTCAGCCCTTTATCGTAGCAGAAGGGCGAAGCAATGACATCGTCTTCACTCACTTCAGTTCCTCTCTCATCTTCTTCCCTCAACATTCCGCATTCTTCCTCCGCATTCTTTCGCTGCCCCAAACCTGTGTTTCCCGAAACAAGGTCCCTCTTTTACCCAAAGAGAAACGACTCTGGGTTTTCCATCAGAGTCCAAACCCTTGACTTCTCCGATTCATTCTTCGAAGGGGGTTTCGGTTCCGAAGACGACCCCAATTCTCCCGGAACCGGTTTCACGGCCGTCGAGGAAAAGGAGGAACCTCAATGTCCACCGGGTCTCAGACAGTACGAAACTATGATGGTTCTGAGGCCCGACATGTCCGAGGATGAGCGACTAGCACTCACCCAGAAGTACGAGGAGGTCAATTTTTATCACCCTTTACTTTTTTCATACACTAGCTATGTCCACAATTTGTTTTTGTTCTGTTGGTACCGCGATTCTGTTTCTGTTTATAATTGAGTATGATTGTGCTGAATTTTATGTCTTCTCATCGGGGGCACAGACCGCAACATTTTCTATGTATCTGCTGATCAATTTTCAGAGAATCAGTCCTTGAATTCGTTCATTTTAAATGTTTTTTTATGGATATGTTTGTGGACTGACGACTGTTGTTGTTTCTGGCGCTTTATATGTATGGGGAGGCTCTGAAGTGTGGCTTAATCTGAATAATAGTAATTAAATTAGAATGTACTCTAAGGTAATGGACTGTTATTTAATCACTTGTTGATTTTTATAATAACTACTTTATAAGTCAGATAATTTTGATGATTTTTAGTTGGTTGATAGGATAAAATGAAAACTAAACTAATAAACTAATATTCATTGATGCGGTTGAAGCTTGACAAGTATGTGGGTTATATGTATGTGTGTTATTTGGGTTATATTATAGGTGACAGTCTCATTGCAATTGGAGTAATAATAGTTAAGGTTGGGCTTAAACTGCTACATAGGCTGAAGTGCTGATGAATTTAGGGTGTTATTATTGAGTTGAGTGAACTAGGTTTTTTACACTATTCCTATGTTTTTCTTTCTTGCAGCTTCTTGTTGCTGGAGGTGGCATGTATGTAGAGGTTTTTAATAGAGGGGTTATTCCACTAGCATATAGCATTAGGAAGAAAAACAAAGCAGGGGAGACCAACACCTATTTGGATGGCATCTACCTCCTGTTTACCTACTTCACCAAGCCTGAATCCGTAACCCCTCTCGAGGAGACACTGTTAGCGGATGATAATGTTATCCGATCAATGAGTTTCAAAATTAGAAAGAGGAGATATTAGTTTGTTTTCAGGTCTTGAGTAGCTTCTTGAAGGAGATGCGTATAAAAAGTAATGTTGTATTTATTATCATTTATTTTTCCCCGTTTTCATTTGGATTCGAGTATTTCTGCTACATGTTTGATTTTTATTAAAAGAGAGTTGTAGGTGCTATCACTTAATCTTCAGAGTTACCATGCTCTGTGCAGTTGCTAACATTACATATTTTTCATACCACTTGCAGCAATTAAGTTGTAAATTTTTCGTATCACTAGTCCACTTATTTATATCGAACTGTGAATTTTTTTTTATGGTTTAATATATCAGCAGGTTTTTAGAAATTTTAATTAAATTTGTAAATTTAAAAAAGAAAAACTTGTAATCGAGTCCCTAGAGTTATTGCAGAGACTTAAAATCATAAATAAAAAATATATCAGTATAGGATGGTTTTATTAACTTCAAACTCAATTACAAAATTTACAAAAAACATGAATTCAATAATATATATATATTTTTTAATTTAAGGACTTCTTAATTTTTAAGTTATTGAGTTTATCCTCTGTTCTAGAGTTGGACGCTAGTTCCTCCTGATACGGATGTGTATCAAACTATTATTTAACATAATATATTTTTAGATCTAGGAGTTTATTTAATTGAATATCTTTTAAAAAATAAAATAAAACAGAAGAAAGTGTTACCAAAATATGTAATATTTGTTTTACCAAAACATGTATAATATTTAACAAAATACGAATATGTTCATCAAACCAAAAAATAAAATAAAATTGATGGATAATTTTATTTCATTTAGATTAAAAGTTAACATTATTATATATAAGTTACATACTTTAAACATTTTAGGGTATTATTTTTATGTACTATCAATATAAAACCATTTACAATTTTATTGTTTCAATTAATTAAAAAAACATCGTTGATATAGTTTTTAATATAATTATTGTAAGACTTAGTAAAATTACTACATGATTGTTTATAATGGCAAAGTGAATATATTTTATACTATTAATAAATATACTATTTAGTCTTTTTTTATTAGTTAAAATATATTTTATTCCATATATATTAAAAGTGATATATTAAAAAAAACATCATTAAAAGTAAATTAGTGAATTGAGATGTAAAAATAATATTAAAAGATATGAAAAATTAAAAATCATTGTTCATAGTATATTAAAATTTAAAAATAAATTGAAGAAGTAAATTATATGTTATTACATTATTTATATACATCACTTAATTAAATATGTGCCTAAAAATATTTTAATTATCTTAATTTAAAGTATTTTTTATTAACTTAATTATATTAATTAATATTTTTTTATTTTATTGGTAATATCAACAATTAGAATTAATAATAAGGACTGAAAAATGTTAGTAACCTAAGAATAGCAACAAAAAAATGTAATTTAAATGAGACAAAAACAATATTTGCATAAATTTGAGACATATTTAAGCTAATTAAAAATATTGAAAGAGTTAATCATTAGTTCATTACAAAAAAAAAAATTGAACAAATTTAAATTATAGATTATTGTGGTAAAGAAATTAAATAGACAATTAAGTCTAATTTTTACTTGGAACTACTCTAGTAAAAAGTGGAGAGGGGGGATTTCAAGTAATTTTGTACAGTATATCAAAAGATAAATTTAATAATATCAAAGAAAATGCGAGATTTCACAATAAAATAAAATAAAATAAAATAAACTTGAGCTTTTATTTTTAAAAAATATGTAAGTCGACAAACAAATATCACAGTTGAACGTGTGACTCTACTGTATCAGTGTTTGTAATGAAAAATGGAAGAATAGTGAAGACTGTGCAGTTTGGTTCCCCACGCCATCAAGTTTTATTAATTAGGTACTATCATTATGCATTATCACGCGCATGTTGAACTAAACGCCAACAAACGTGTAATCTCTATTCCGCAATTATGCTGTTAACTAGGAAAACAAGTACATGTGATGTGAGAAGAATTTCTGTCAAATGGATCATGATTTTTTTGCACGTTACTCATTTGAAATATCATGGAGAGTGAAGTGAGAAATTCTTGTGAATCATCCGCCAACCAGACATTATTTTCTTTTAAACTGATGATATGAATTTCCACTCCAGATTTTATCTGTTCCGTACAAATATCTAAGCTGCTACTTCCGGGGTTTACATGCATGAGCAACATAAGTGGCTGCACTTTGTTTTGATAATTTATATATATCATTCCTTACTTGCACCCACTGAAACAAGAGAGAATCTGGTATAGTGTTCAGATTGAGATCTGATCCTAAAGCCACTCATAGAAAAAGAGTTTAATTTCTAAGTAATCACCGTTCCACCAACAACAGTGCACATAGTGTCATAGTCATAGGTCTCCCTCCATCCCTTAGGATCAAAATGTATTATATATACTTTTACTTAGGATGAGGTAGGTCTCTAAGCCAAAACCAAGCTCCAAATTGGGTTCTCCAATATGGTACGTTAAAAGCAATTTACTAGAGTAAAATAAATAAAAAAAATGTAATGAATTTTTTTATAATTTAAAATTAATTTATGCATAAACTATTTTGAAAAAAAAATCTTATTAACTTCTTCAAAATTCTTTTTTTAACTTATGAAAATTGAAAAAAAAATATATTTCATTTTTCGTTCTTATATTTTTCTCTTAAAAATATTTTTAAAGAAATTTATCTAAACATTTCTTAAATAGACTTATTTAATTTTAAAATTTTATCATTCTATGTACTACATATATCGGTTAATATTAAAAATAAATAAACATTTCTAAAATTTATAACTATAGATAAAGAAGATATAAGATTTTGGCATAAACAATTTCTTTTTTGTCCTATTTTATCCTTCTAACTTCAATTCCATTCACATCTTCCAGTATATAAACTAGTCTATTTAACCTTTGTTATTTTTTCTTTTTAAAAAATATAGAAAGCCACAAAATGTTTTTTTTCTTCTTAATAATGAATAATTCATTCGCTATAATTATTTTTATCATATAAAATCTTTTCGTACTACATAATATCAAGTTGTTGAAATTTTTTTTTTCCTTTGAATACATCTTAGGAAGAAGACCATTCTCATTCTCATACTCTATTTGCACCAAATTTTATTGAATAAGATTCACTAATTTTTTTAGAGACGACGCTCACTTATCAATTATCTTTATCACCAAAGGAGACCCTTGTTACCAGAATTGGGACAACTTTCGTACGTATTAGATAGTCACAAAGAAAACGTACCCTTCATATTCTCCTCACCCTATTCATTAGTTACATGAGTTTAATATCCTGTAATTTTAAAACTTATTACTTACACAAGTTATTTATTTGTTTTCTATTCTAAAAGATTTTTAATTATTTTTATGGGTTAAGTATGTTTTTAGTCTCTCAAATTTGAGATATATATTTTTTAAATTTTAAAAATTGTATTTTTAGTCCCTATAATTTTCTTTAAAAAATGATTTTTTGATATCTCAAATTCAAAATTTGTGTTTAATTATTATCAAACTATTAAAATAATGTTATTTTAACCAATTAATTTGTCACTATTAGATATTATATTAGTAACTAAAATAGTATTTTTTAAAAGATTATAAAGAAAAAATTAATTTGAAAACCCAAATAATGTTTATTTTTTTATGTTTTGAGAAATAAAAACACAAATTTTAATTGAGAGAATAAGAAAATACATACCCTATATTTGAAAGACTAAAAATATAATTATTTTTTTAATAAAAACACATTAAAAAAGTTTTTTTTAAATAACAAGAGCAAAAAAAAAAAACAAAAAGGAGAAAGAACGAGGAAGAGAAATACAAAGCAATCAAACTTAAAGAAATGCAATTCCATGGCATGAGAATTGCTTTTCTTAGAGTTTCATTGCTGTATATTTCTCTTCCTTTTTTCTTTTTTTTTTTTCCTATTTCCCCTCTGGTTAAAAAAAAGCTACATTTAAGTAATGGGCTAGATTGATTGAACTGGCAGGGGCATGTTTCTTAAGCCTAATTTTTTAGTTTCATACTTCAAAAAAAAAAAAATCCTCATAAAGATCGATACAAGCCACAAAAAGAGTTAAGTGAATTAATTTGATGATCCCGTGACCGTGAGGAAAAACAATCTGCATAGTGCCTGAGTATTCATTTTACAACATTCATATAATTAAGATTTTTGATTTTCCTCTTTGAAGCAAGCAGGGCGGTCTAATGAAATACTAATAATATTCAAACCAACATATTCTAATTCTTGAAACTTTTGATTGCCTTCTCACTCGGGTAAATTAACGTGCAATTTAGCACTAGCATGGTGATAGTGACACAGAAAGAATGCTGTTATTAGCAGTTTACTTGGCGTTGGGGTCCATATCTTAGTAGTGGAGGATCGATCATGGGCCTGTTCCACCATTCGTAAACACAGAATATGTACCAGTGCCATTATCTCCTTCATTAAATTCACACATAATAATTATATATTGCTACTTTATCAATCAATATAAGTAGACAATTTTAAATGTTTTGGTACATATCTTCCTTTCCCTATTCACCAATTCAAAGACATTTATTTGTTTTCGATGTCTCTCTGCCCCAAAAATAGAAAGCCAAAAATATCCGATTCTCTTAGAATAGCAAACCACCATTCCATCAATATATCATCACATGTAGTGCATGCTCAACTAATGCTATTGCTGGTCCCTTCTCAACATTTTCAACTCTCTTTTTATTCTTATTCAACAATTCTCTATTAATATATGTTCCATACATTTGTATCTGCATTGAATATATGGCAGTGGAAGAAGGACTTTGAATGTTAGGAAAGAACTGATCGAGTGATGATGGCAAGGTGGTAAAAAAGGGTTTGTGACCACAATTTTAGCTGCATCGTCAATGTTTTTAGAGTGTTCATAACCATAATTGTGGCCGCATCAACTTTATTTGTCTGAAGTTTTTTGCAATATCAAGAAACGCGACAAAACTACTACCATAAGTTAAAACCCTAGCTATGGGTGTTCCACAAACTCCAATTCCCTCTCCACATCTCTATCCACAAGAACTTCAGCTTAAGCTTTACCAAGCCTTCATATTCTCAATTCCCATACTCTTTTCCATCATTTTGGTTCTTTTGTTTTACTTGTTCTACCTCAAAAGGAGGGCTTCCTCTCTCTCATCACCACCTCTCCACGTACTTCCTAGAACTACTAATCCACAAACTACTGATCTTTATCCTTCACAAGTAAGATTTTGATTTTCTTCATCTGTAATTTGAAGTCATAAATATTGCACAACACACTAGAGGGATTGAGATGCTATGGATGGCTTCTTTGTTCTTTGCACTGCACCAACATGCATCCATTATTTATCAAAATTTGAACAAAAACTAATATTAGCCTCTATGTTGTTATTGTTAATATCACAGCCTTGCCGTTTGGATCTGACAGTGCAATTTCTGGACAAACTTCCAAGAATTTTGTTTGATGAGGATTTAAGAACAAGAGATTCAGTGTGAGCCTTTTTCTTTTTTTATTCTTTTTTCTTTTGTATGCCTATATATGATTGGTCTTTTTGTTTGTATTATCTTTGAAATTGGTTGCGTAGTGGATGGTTTCTTTTTCATCTCTCTTTTTGAACTTTGCTTAATATGTGCTTTAATCTCGTCTGTTACACAACGTATCTACTGTATGTGCCTGGGACCATAAATTGTTAATTTGCTGTACTGTAATCTCACCTCTGCCAAATTATAGTCAAATGATTGTTGTTCTTCAAAAGCTGAATTTTTTTAGAAGAATATTCGATTCCCAAAGTCTTTAGAACCTTTCATGACATCCATTATTTTCATAAAAAGCGATATGGAAAAAGGAAGTAAAAGGTGTAATGAATATATGAAGAATTGCCCTTTTTTATGCATAACTTGCACACTTGAAGCTGACTCACCAGGAATATAGAGTCATAAAACAAAAGAAAAAATATATATAATTCCTGCACGTGTAATCCAACTGGATGATAAAAAATATTAAAAAAAAAAATCAAAGATAGATATACATAGGTTTCTTTTCTTGGGAATTTCTAGTGGGCAAGTGCTGGATTGCACTTTTGAAGTTGGCTCTTGGATTAATTTCTTATGCTGGTCCCTGAATTATTATTATTATTATTATTTTTCCATACATCCAAACTTGTCTTTTAATATTGATTTGGTTTTGTAATGTTGAACATCAATATTTCAAAACTTGGGATGATTGTGCTAATATCCTAGTAACTTTAAATTCATGAAGATGTTGTGTTTGCCTGGGAGAATTTGAGCTAAAGGAAGAGCTGCTACAGATCCCTTATTGCAAGCATGTGTTTCACATAAACTGCATAAGTAACTGGCTGCAATCAAACTCCACGTGTCCACTTTGTAGATATTCCATCATTCCCACTACAAAGTTCCTTAATCTAACACCACCTATTGTATCAGAACCACCACAGCAAGGTGGTGTTTCAGGCTCTCCATCGCACATCATCATGCCATTGCCTCATCAACAAGAAGATGAAGTTGGTGCTTCCACAAATACCACCATTTTTCAAGGGAGTGGTGTCTTAATTAGATCATGATAATACCTTTTGAAGTGAAACATCTGTAAGCTATTCAATCGACCCTCATGAATCTAGAGTTCTGAATATCCAATTGAACAGCAAAAGTTACATCATTTTTTTTTTCGGTTTTAAGATATCGCGTGAATTATGTATTTAAAAAAACAATAATTTATGAAATAAAATGTGGCCTTTCTTTGTCTACACTGGAATATATTCGGTGAGTTTGTGGGATGAAAAACACAATCTTTTTACATTTGGAAAGGAATTTTTGTACCCCACAAATGGATGGAGCCTGGATGATCGTACATAAGCCAATCATGATAATGTGCATTATTAGGAAGAAAGTGGTGACAGTATCTCAATTTCAGTGAATTTACTTGGAATATTGGCAGAAGTGGGGGGAGGAAAATAAGTTAGGAAAATACTAGCGTGCAACAAATAAAAAGCATCAAATGATTGCTTCAAAGAAAAACAAGCCTTTGTTTAGACACTATTGAAACCTGGAAAAAGATGTGTGTTTGCAGTAATTACGGGAAAAAAGTTTATTAACAGATAATTATGCCTATAATTTATTATTTTTACAATTGATTATATAAAATAAATTTTATGATTAGATATTTTAGGTAATAAGTTATTTTAAAATAATGTATTGTGTCTGGGTTGTTTAAAAAATTACTTTTTATAATAAAATTATAAAAAAAGTAAATATGAAATATTTTACAATAATTGTTTTGATATTTCAATAACTAGTTGATGGGAATAAAATAGGAAAATAAAAGAAAACTACAAAAAAAAAGTGAATGTTTTTTAATCCTAAGTTTCAAATTTTATGTTGTCAAAAAAGAAAAGTTACAAAAAAAAAATATATTAAAAAAACGTTTCCTTTATATATATATATATATATATATATATATAAACATTAAAGAATATATGTTTTTTTAATAACAATATCAATCAAGACTCTTTTTTTTTTAGGGGAAATATCAATCAAGACTAAACAGTATTTTTCACAATTTTTTATATAATCACAGAAAATAATATATACTGAATACACTAATTAATAAAAGATATTATTGGATTCAACATGTTTGGAGTGAATCCAAAGGAGGATAAATTTAAAGGGAAACTTGATCATATATAATTGGGTTGAAATCCACCCTGACATATGGGTTCGGCTCGTCCAACACGCTAATTCTCAAAGGTGTGCGACTCTCATGCATTATGATTTCTATACTATTTTAATTTAGGTTTTGGAGTAGATATTTTTCTATAAATATTTTTAGGATAAAAAATGAGAAACAAAATTATATTGAATTTTTTTCGTAAGTTAAAATGAAATTGTTTACTTTAACTTTGGTGAAGTTATAAAAATCACTTTTATAAAAATAAGTGCATAAATTAATTTTAGAGTTAATCACTTATACACTGTCAGAGTAAAAAATTTTTATACTGGCAACCAATCATATCTTTTAACAGTGTCTTGTCAGTTGCTCATTTAATGGAATAAAAATAAAATAAAATAATTTAAAAGATATGATTGATTGTCAGTGTAAAAAACTTTACACCGACAATGTGTGGATGATTAACTCTTATTTTAACTATGAAAAAAAATAAGTGTATATATATATATATATATAT